GTGTTGCCTCTCTTATGATTTCGTGATCGGTCGCTCGCGGGGAGGGTAATATGACACTCGCTGTTTTTTAGTTTTTTTTTTATATTTCTTCTTATCCTCGTTCACGTTCGTGTGGCGTGGTGATACGGGTCGTCGGATCCTGACGTCGCCGCGAGCCAGAGGAGCCGCTGTAGGGCGAGTTAGTGTCTGCTGCGGGAGCCAGATACGGTGGAGCTTCCACCGCTTGTGGCCGACGACGACGTTGGTTGCTGCTGATGCGGGCGCTGGGGGAGGTTCCCACGAAAGTGGGGAAGGCGTCCAAGCCCGCGTGGGCGAAGGTGTTGTCCGCGGTCGTGGTGATCGACCCGCCGGTTCCCTTGCCTCCGCTTTGGCCGCCTGGATCTCAGGGGCCCCGAAGAGTCCCCCCTTCTGTCCCCGAAGAGTTGGTTCTAGCGTTTTCTGAGGCCCTTGCTCACAGGCGTGTGGGCTGGTGCCCGCGCCGAGGAGCTGGCCGACCGTCCCTTCTTCGGCGTAGTGGATCGTGTTGACTCCTCTCTCTTCGGCGTCGGTGGCCCCGTTGCCGCTTATGCAGCGGACGCTCTTTTTCAGCGCGAGGAATCGCTTATGCAGCGAACGCGCTTGTTCAGCGCGATGAATAGCGCCTAGAGTGCTATTTGTAGCTGCAGGTTCTACGGCTGTTATAAAAGTCGCCTACAGAGACCAGCGTAGCGGAGTGAGAGTGTGTCCGACCACTCGCTGGGTCTGACTTTTATTGTCCCCAAGTTGTAATTTCCTCGCGAGAAAACCCCTCCGAGAATGCGCCACCGAACGGCGTTGCGCGGAGGCTCTCGCGGTTGTGGCGGCGGCTCGGCTAGCGGCGCCGCGCTTGTGTGTACGGATCTATATATCGATCCGCCACATATATATATATAAATTTAATTTTATAATTTTATATTTATAATTTTAATATTCAAGACTATCTTAAATATTAAATTTATAAATATAAAATTATAAAATTAATTTTATAAAATATTTAATTTATAATTTAAAAAATATTAAATTTATAAAATTATAAATATCGTCCTAAACGTCTCACATATATTAGGAACCGATTTTAAAATAATATTCTTCAACTCAACATTGCTATAATGTAAGTGTACATTTTTAATAGCATAGATAAATATTGAAAGAGACATGTTATCTATAAGGACTCTATAATAAAAAAAAATGTCCAAAATTTAACTGCAACTTGAATATTAACAAAAAATAAAATGTGAAAAAAATCAGGGAGTCGAAAAAAATAATAGGTAATATTGATCTTACAGAGAAACTTCTCATTAACAAATCATACAATCAATAAATCAATAAAGTGTAAAGCTGTGTTTATTCTTGAAAAAACATCGTTTATAATTGTTAGACAAATTATTTCATATATTAAAAAACTGCTGTTATTTATTACAAGATATCATGCATATCCCTTATATCGCAAACTTAATAAATAGTAAAACGGTATCTAAACATAATAAACAACTGAAAGAAATAGTAAAAAATTTATCCTATTTTTTCCGCAAATTTTTCTTGATGTTGGTTAAATCTACTTTCTCATATCTAGATAGTACAAAATATTTTATGAATACACATACAATATTCTGGCAGAGATTCATAAAATTATAATAGAAAAAATCGTTCTTGAAACATTCGTAAAGTTTATTTATGATATATATATATATATATATATATATATATATATATATATGTATATGCATATACATATATATGCAATGCATCTATGTAACTGAAAAGTTTTTCAAAATAGCAATATGCACTTATTTTAACATAGTAATGCATTTATTTTAACTTAGTAATGTGTGACCTGTATCTACATAATAAAATATTAAATTATTATTTTATAATTTTGAAATCAATGATTAATCTAATTAACTTCTTGTAAATACTCTATGCACATTCATAGAACATTTATAATTGTGTTATACGAACATACTATGACTATATAACAGTATTTTTAGAAAATAGAATATTTTTAGTTCACAGAATATTCTTTTGCTATTTGCAAATTATTTGCAAGTATTATCGCACGTCTTGGGAAAACAAAATTTTCCCTATCATTAAAATGGTTGGGAATAACAATTGAACCACACTGCATTATCAATACAAATATATTGAGAATAAATACTGTATAAAAAAATTAATGGATTCACCTTAAGCAAATTAGAATGCGATTGTCACAATGTAATTTTCAGACGGAATAAAAGCAGAAAATTGTTTATATACGCACATACGTTTTCTACCTGCCGTTCATTATTACGTTTCATCAGTTTTATAACAAATAAAGTAATTTCCAACAGATGGCGTCAGAGTGCAATAATTTATTCAATTGAAAACTTGGATTTAATTCTGAGTAAAAATCTGAGCATTTTACATGAAACAAGTTTCAGATAATAATTATTAATACATGCTTAAACATTGGATAATCATATGGATTCTCATTTCAAAAGATGAATGAAAATTTCAAACATATAAATCCCAGGCGTTAAATGGATACTTCCGCATTTGTATTTATAGTTTAACATGCACTCAGGCGTATTTATAATATATTATTAGATTATAATACATTGTGTGTAAGAGTCATGCACGTTTCTCTTCCCCTTCCACTTTGCGCATTCCTAATATAAGTTTGTCAATTAATTTTATTATAGGTAACTGATATTTGCAGTGTTTACTTTGTCTGCCAAGTATGAACTTGACGGCATTTTTTATATCGTGCATATACGTCTGCGAAATGATCCTCGTGTAATTGATTATTGGTTGCTGTATATTGTAAATCATGTCGGCGTATTCCTCTCACCTGCGTGTTCGTAATTATAAAACGTCCCTTAATTGATTTTGCCGTTGCGCGATAACTACCATATAATGCCGAATGATTCGTCACGTGTTTTGTGATAGGCAAGAGAAATGCACGGCGCAAAAAACGAGATAACTTATGCACATGAAAGACACATACAGACGGAAAAATACCCGCTCTCGCATCCCCTATTTCAGTGCATAACAGCACCGAAATAGTCGCGTATGTGTAAATCGGATAAAGAAAAAATTTGTTGTCCTTTAAAACTTTATTCTTCTTTTCCATCTCTCTTTCTCTTACGTGAAAAAATTATCGTAAATATAAATACATACGCGTAAAATAGACGTGCATACCGCACACGCGATGAACATATAAATGTAAAAATCAGCGACACTATATAATTCGGTTTTCACTCTAGTTTCACACACCATTTCACGAACTGACGCCAGAAATTATTGTAATTATTTCACAGGAAATATCTAACTTTAAACATCTTACTTGTAGCAGAATTCCGCTGAGTTCAAATGCGTCTATCATACTATCATACTACAAGTCGAAGATACATTAGCACTAAACAGTCATCGGTATCGTGTTATCAGTGTCTTTCTCCGTATGCTGCTGTGTTTCAACTGTCCGCTAAAAGTTACCGTGCGTTACTAAAGACTCATTAATAATGTAGTGTCAAAGTGCCCACTCGATGGCAACCCTTCTTTCCAACGACCAAACTTCTCGACAAGGTAAAATATGTCGACAGTTGCAGGCTTTCCACGCTTTATTTCAGCGGTCTTTTTCGTATCGTCACATAAAAAATTCTTTGCGTGCGTGCTTACAATCCTGCAATTATAAATGTGCGGTAGTAAAGAGGGAAAACACGATACATCAAAAGTGATGGGTGTTTCTGACGATGGACATTATACATTATGTGCGTTCACGCGATTATAATTTATTCAATTATTCCTTTGGCTACCAAAAGCGTCGACAAAACAACACGCTCCTATGTGTTTGTCAGGTTTATCCTGATTGCTGAAATATTTATGACAACGCGCACACATACATACAACGAACTCTAGTCTTTCAGGAATTTTATTTTGAGAATATACGTAAAGCATAGAGACGACTTTTCTCGATAGTGCAAGACAGTATTTTCTTAATTCTTAGGATGCACCGTTCAAGTGGATATAACGGTGCTCTTTTCTGCTATCCGTTTACGTTTATTAATTAGATCAGTTATCTCTCTGTTTAATAGTAGCAATTATTATATGTAAAATTATAATTTTTAACATAAAGTAAAACTTAAGTTTCTAATGACAGATTTCGAATGGGCGACCAATCTAAATCGATGTATGTTAAAAATTGTCGGTATGTGGCCACTTGACAACCGGAACTCGCGTCAAATTGTAAAACTCAAATTTCAACGGCTGTGCTGTTTGACCACATTACTTTTCGTAGTCACAATACCGAGTTTAATATCATTGATAAGAGTATGGGGTAATATGATACTAATGATAGATAATATGCAATATAGTCTACCTCTGTCGATGGCAGCTTTAAAAATCTGCATTATTTGGTACAAACAAGAAGGTAAATTATGTTTAGCACAGTGTTTTCTTATCAGTAACTCGTCTAACTTTTGAATCTGTAAAACGCGCAAAAGTTGATGAAATCACGCGAAATCATTGATGATATCTTCAATTTAATGCTACTTGGCCTGGTACTTTATTTTGCTATACTATTTTGTCTGGAAGAATTTCTCATAGTTAATGTAAGTCAAAAATTATAGTGCGCGAAATTATTTCATTAATCAGGCTGTGTTATCCCTACAGTTCTCGATCATTCAAAACAATCACATATGAACTAAATATACGTGTTGATCCGCGTTTAATAATTTCTTTGTTAATTTTCCTCGTGTACAATGCTTTTTTAATGTAACATGATGAACTTTAGAGAATATAGTATTTCAAGATCGTACAACTTGCGCAAAAGTAAAAATATTTAAAAACAATTAAAATGATGACTCCTCAGATATTCAAACCTGCGCAAACAGATTTTGAGTAGAACATTTTACAAACTTTTTTATATTACAAAGGTAGCAAATTGAACACAGGATTTAATATATCTGCTTATGTTGTCAAACTACAGAAATATGACAGAGCCTGCTAACAGGCAAACAGATTGGCGGCAGAAACCGAGCAGAGCCTGTAACGATCTGACGGCAAATTGACAAGAGAAATCGACCAAACATTGTTTTCATAGAATCTGATTTCTGCTTCAATTTGCAATTCTGCTGGATTGATTGCGTTCAGTAGAAAAGTAGCTTAATAAGCTTTCTATTGCGTTGGCGGCAGCTTTGCAAACGTTGGAAAATTTTCTGCTGAACGACACTAGTGGTTTACGCTTCTTCAACATATTTATAAAGCGGTCGTCATTTTTTTCAGCATATTATTAATATGCTAGACCGCTTAATAAATATGTTGAAAAAACATAAACAACTAAGTACCGTTCAGCAAGAAATCTCACGAATAAAGTGCTTTGTGCTGGCAGCACAGCCCAGCGCTTTTTCGCTGAATGTAACTATTGCCTATTAGCAGACTGTGCCAAAACACCAAAACACAAATTGAATGCGAAAATGGATGGGTATGGTTATGATATGAAATTCTGATCAAATTTGCTGCCAATCTGTGCGCACTCTGCTATCAATTTACCTACTGGTTTATCACTCCTTGTTACAGTTTTAGTCCTTCTAATTGATATGGTTAAAGAAGATTGGATAAAGGTAAAGATTAAAGAGGAGCGAAACGTTATGCTGAAGTACGCCAGAATTGCTCGAACGCTTGCTGTGTGTGGAATGTTCATGGTATTTTTTTCAATGATCACTCTGTTTGGTTTACCGTTTTTCAAAATAACAAAGAGATATGTGACTAATTTAACCGATTTTGAAAAACATTTGCCGATACCAACATACTACTTGCACGATGTAACCAAGAGTCCACAGTACGAGCTAACGCTACTGGCGCAAACATTCGTAACGTCCATGGGCGCTATTTCTTACTCTGCAATCGACAACTTGTTCGGACTATTAGCTTTTCACGTATGCGGTCAACTGGAACTTTTACATTTGCGATTGAAACATATGAAAAAGTATCCCAACTACAATGAAGTTTTAAAATATAATGTCCAAGATCACGTTCGTTTAAGCAGGTACTCAAAATGGATTGTCAAAAAAGAGTATCCAAACAAAAGCCGTTCGATCACACACACACACACACACACACACAATCGTATACTTAATCACGATACAAAATTTCATTTTTTCTCTGAGATGCAGTTGTTGTTTCAGATCTATCGAAATCATTGATGATATCTTCAATTTAATGCTACTTGGCCTGGTACTTTATTTTGCTATACTATTTTGTCTGGAAGGATTTCTCATAGTTAATGTAAGTCAAAAATTATAGTGCGCGAAATTATTTCATTAATCAGGCTGTGTTATCCCTACAGTTCTCGATCATTCAAAACAACCACATATGAACTAAATGTACGTGTTGATCCACGTTTAATAATTTCTTTGTTAATTTTCCTTGTGTACAATGCTTTTTTAATGTAACATGATGAACTTTAGAGAATATAGTATTTCAAGATCGTACAACTTATGTTGATGACTATTTAGGTTATTAACCAGAAAGACCAATTATCAGTTATGCAGTGGGCTTGGTTTATCGTACCGACTATATCTTTTCTTTTGCACATGTGTCTTTATTGTGCCGTAGGTGAAATTTTATTGACGCAGGTAAGTGAAAGAATATGATAAAAACTTTAATGGGTAAGAGAAAATCATATAATTTTATTATTTATATATATATATATATATATATATATATATATATATATATATTCGTTATTATGGTAATGATATTCATTATAATTATAATTATGACGATAATAATCGTGATAATGATGATAATGGCAATTTTTGTTATTGTAATGATAGTAAAGATTGAAATATATGATGATTATTCTTTATGATAATAATGATAATGGCAATTTTAATGATTATAATTATGATAATGATGATAATCACGGAAATGATGGTAATAATTATGATAATGACGATGATTATCGTGATAATTATGATAATGCTAATATTCGTCATAATAATAATAATAATAGTTATGGAAATGATAATAATAATAATGATAATAATCATATTTATTTTATATTTATTTATTTATTTTATTAATATCTAAAAAATAAAATGGGAGGAAACAAATATATACCAGGTGTTTCAGACCACCCGTAGACTCCATTTACAAACGATGGACGTAGATATTTTAAAAAGAGTTTCAGACAAAAGTTGTAAAGTTCAAAGGGAGATATTTAAACGTGACCTTGATTTTGACCTTGCCGGCAGCTAATTGTCAAGAAAACAATGGTTAGCTAATACAATTCAATATTGACAGGGAGAGGAGAGGGTCGTGAGCGTAGAGCGTCAAGTAGCTGAGTGGTTTAGAGCAGTCGCCCGGCAAGCGAAAGACCCGAGTTCAAATCCCGGCCTAGCAAAACCGCGCTGTCGATATTTTTCTCTCTCTGGAACGAAAAGATAAATCTCGAACGCAAGGCGTCCCGCCGCCACCTAGTACGCCCTCCTTCTTCTATAGTAATTATATTAGCTAACCATTGGTTATTATATAGTAATTATATTAGCTAACCAAGGTTATTTCAAGGTAATAATTTAAAATGGTACCTTCCATTTTTTATTGCATATTCTTATAACTTATTTCGAGAGCTTTCCAAAACACTATAACAACGTATTTTTTCATTAAGTACTTTTTGAGTAATGAAACAGTAAAATTGCAGTAGCATAACCCAAGGTATACCACGCAGAGATTGTTCAATCGAATTTACATGTCTTTTGTATATGTGTGTCTGTGTGTGTGTGCGTGTGTGGGTGGGTGAGTATGATATAGATATGGTGAACTCCTGAATTATTTCAGGAAATATTAGTTTTATAGAAAAATTTTCATATATAAAAAGTTATAAAGTATAAAAAAATCTATTTACTGACCTTATCCTGACTTTGGCTCTGCCACCCAAGACAATGATGCCAGTTTGAAATCGCTTACAGCATGCTCCTGCGCGTGGAACGTGACGTGAAACGCATACGTCCCGATCTACAATAAGTGATTTAAGCCCTAAGCTTTAAGAAATTGACCAATTACAATCAAATTTGAAGAGAATAATCGACTGTGATTGGTCAATTTCTTAAGGCTTAAAGCTTACTACACCTATTGTAGATCGGGACTACAAGTGAGCAGCCATATCCATGTGCGTTCGAAGTTCCTTCGAACGTACGTGGCTGGCTTCCGGCGGTGGAAGAGATCAGATGTACAATCTGTTGTCTCTTTCTCCCCGAGTTATAGCTACAGCTAATGCCGCTAGCCACGAGAATCGTACTAGATATGCAAATGAATAATTCAAAAATTTGTTTAAGCATTTGAAAATTTTAGAATGAATTTATTCTCCTATTAAAGATTAGAATGAATTAATCCTCGCTCTACTGTTGCCGTATAACTGTTCAAAGTGATTTAGTATGGCAGAGAACCTCACATAACCTTAAAAAATATGTTTAACCTTAAAAAATATTTTTAAGGTTATGTTAGGTCATCCTTTTCTACGTAAATCCCTATCTCCACTCCTCTACGCTCGGTTTAGATATATTATGTCTATGGTCGTGCCCGACCGAAATTGGCGCTGTCGTGCTTCGGTCACTTACGCTCCTATTCAAAGCTATTCGCACGATTGCACTGTCATGGCGCTGGCGGTGGCGCGGTCGTGGAAGACGTGACTGTTACGGGCGCATCGTAACACTTCGTTACAATTCCAACAAGTAAAAATGCTGCAAAACCGTGTAGATCGATTTATTCATTTTTCGGCAAAAGTATTGTATCACACAATGTGTACAGATTTTGTTTTAAGTGGTTTTAAGTGGAAAGCGGTGATTTCAGTGTGCTTGTAAATTTTAGCGGACACAATTAACACTGATCGCGAAGCTTGAATACTTCGGAAAAAAATTCTGCTCTGCATTTGGTGAAATATTAAGGCATTTTATTATAAGCTGTTAACTCAGGTGAAACAGTTACTGTGGACTGAAAACTAGTTGAACTACTTGAGCCAGAAATTGGAACGAAAATGTCCGTGTACTGGCCAAGGAAATTTACTTGTGAAATTACTACATGTCAACATTAGGTCATACACATTACTTCTAAAAATACACTATTATCTTAGCTGAGACGTTTTGCTGCACCTGGCGTATTCACCAAATATAGTTTCTTCCAATTACCGCTTATTCTAGTTGATAGAATACACTTGTCCGACACACATTTCCAATCGATGGTTGAGAACCGAACATGATTTGGAGACTTTATCATATTCAAAAGACGTAGCATTTTTCTAAAACAAAGTCCATAAGCTATTCGAAAGATAGCTCTTAAAGGCATAACATTAAAATTTCGTAAATGTCGTAAAAAGGATGAGCAATGTATGCAAATAACGAGTCACAGAAAAGGTGTACTTAGCGACATATGTAAACTTTTTATCATAACAAAACTTTATCATTAATGGAATAAAAATATCCAACATGTAACACGTGACAATATATGAAAAATATGCGTGTGCGTTCGAAAGAACAATCTAAAAGAAAACACAGTGTCATAACGAAGCAAAAGAAGGTGATGTTGCTATAAAAAAATAATGACTAATGGTTCAATCTGAAAATATAATAAGCGCGCAGAATATTCTTAACAATAGTTTATGGTATTAGCTTATCTAATAAAGAAAAAAACATTACATTAATATTATTATAACCTTATTCAACAATATATTTTCAAATAAGTCGTTTTTAACGTTGTATAGAACATCTTTACGAACAAACGTTGACATTGATTTGGAAGTTGCGATAATATTAAAATTACATATGATCATAAAATTTGAAATAAACATTGTATTTACGTCTTTTTAACATTTTGGCATCCGTTCCTTCAATACGCACTGATGTCTCCTAAAAAAATGTCTCCTATAAAAAATGATAAGTTTAACTATAATATTGGCCTAAATAAATTTGTTTGATCGCTTTGTTTAAATAAAAGAAATCTGATATTTCTTGAGTCACAGCACCATTTCATTTCATACGTTTGTTTCTCCGTTTCTACCCTACAGTCTTCCTTTTTCTGACCATGTCCTTTATTGCCTCGATAATCAAAGACGAACTGGTGAGATACAAAGCTGATATTCATAGTCTCCGAATCCATCTGAAAGTGAATTTAAGACTATCTTAAATATTAAATTTATAAATATAAAATTATAAAATTAAATTTATAAAATATTAAATTTATAAAAATTGATATTAATAATATATTAATATATATATATATATATATATATATATATATATATATATATATATATATATATATATATATATTAGCAAATCTTTTATCTATCACAACTAAATAACTTTGCTATGAAAGTAAGAAAATTTGCTCCTGCAGTTAATAATTTTATTTGTTCATATATTAGCAAATCTTTTTTTTCCGTGTACTAATGCTGGTGTTATATCTCGATCATGGACAGCATTGTTAATAAATAATCGGGCTCGAGCTGCTGTCTGAATCTCGCACGACTCTTTAAAGGCAACAAATGAGCCGCGGAAGTTTCGACGATGTTTGAATAATTCATACCTGACGACTGGGAGAAGTCGTCAATGAGATTATTAATAGAGGGTCTTTCTCGTATGCGCGTTTTTACGCGCTGCACAGATTAGCAATTGACTCCAGTTGGCTATGATAAAGTCATCGAACTTAAAATCTTCTTATAAAGTACTCCCATACGTGAGTTAGTCAATTTAATCAGATAATCATTTTACCACATTTAAAATAGCGTTAGATTGGTGCAATAAATTTGATATTTTTCAATTAAATTCCTGAGGTTTGTAAAATAAAAATTTGAGATTTAAGAGAACAGAAAGTTATTGAATATCTAAAACAATACGTAATTCGAAATGTTATTCGTTTTATTCGTAAAAGTTGCATGGGATTACAAGAAATATTTTTGTCAAGTAACTCTAATCAGAGCAAGTATTTTTTAGTTGTTTACTCAGGGAAAATAATGCCGATGACTGAATTGCTTCATCAAACTTACAAGTTAATTTGAGTTTTATATCAAGAAATCAACGATTGAGAGAGAAAAATCCAAAATGGTAACGCAATTATCAAATTCTGAATTCAATCGTGAAATAATTATGTCTTTATTTGATGAGAATTTAAATTGATTATTTTCTAGTTGATTGCACTCTAAAATTCGTGCACGGGCTTTCAAAGTTTTTTTCAACTGTTTGCGATTGAATACAGAGTCTTTCACTTATTTTTCCATTAATTCTTCAAAACTGAGTAATCTCGTTTCCTAATTCATTTCATAAATCGCATCAGCCAGATATTCTTTAACGTGCTCTTTATGTCCCGTCGATGCTAATTACTTTCTCGCTGTCCTACTTGCAGCGGCGTACAATTGAGAATTTTGCTGACGGAAGGACAATTTGATTGACGCAGCGGAGTTTCGCTTGTTTCGATTTAAAATCCAGCGCAATTTTTGCGAAATAACGAGAATTGCGAATAAGTGAGTCAAAGTAAGCGCAAGCATTAGCAGAATAGAGCGATAAATCGTTTTTCATCTGCAGTTCCAACGCAATCGCCTCAAAGCTTCTTGCCCTTCGCTGCGGTCATCTTGTTTCATGACATTAGAAGTCAGGAAATGTATGCCCATTCTAGCGAGAGCATGCATTTCCTCGCTTCTCGACGTCATCAATCTGCAAGAGTTCCGTGACGAGAAACCAAAAAAGCCTTAACGAAAATTTGAATATCGTGGAAGTACCTTGTCGTGGATGCTTTATTATTCATTCGCACCTTATTTGCCGGGGGATCGTTGATACGTCGAGGAATGTTTTGACATATTAGTAGAGAAAGAAAGAGAGAGAGAGAGAGAGAGAGAGAGAGAGAGAGAGAGAGAGAGAGA